AGTCCTGTGTTTTTTTCCCTTAAAGAACACGATTAAAGAGGTAAAGAAGGAAGTTTTTGTGGTACTAGGTATGAAGGGAAGTGATAATCCTAGGAAATATTTGGGTTTGCCCACGTTATGGGGTAAATCTAAAAATGAAGCTTTGAACCTTGTTAAGAACAAGGTGAATATGAAGTTACAAGGGTAGAAACAAAAGCTTCTAACCTTTACTGGTAGAGAAGTGTTGTTGAAAGCTGTAGCTACAGTAATCCCTGTGTTTCTGATGACTTGTTTTAAATTTCCAAAGAAGGTGTGCTTGAAATTGGATGCTGTGGTGGCAAAGTCCTAGTGGGGACAGAAGGAGCATGAAGGTAGAATTCACTAAAAAGCTTGGAAATCTCTTGAAAAGTCGAAAAGTGAAGATGGCATGGGGTTCAGAGATCTGGAGCTTTTCAATAAAGCCTTGTTAGCCAAAACTGCTTGGAGAATTTTACGGAATCCGAATGATCTTTGGTGCAAGATTCTGAAGGGCATCTATTTTCCTCATGATGATTTCTTCAAAGCAAAGCAAGGGAGTAAGTCATCTTGGGGGTGGGCAAGTATTCTGGAAGGTAGAGACCTATTGAAAGATGATTTGTGTTGGAGGATTGATGATGGCGTGGGGATCAATGTTTTCTCTGATAAATGGATACCACATGCTGTAGGATACGATTTAAAAGAAAGAAGCCTTAATGAGGAGATGAGAGACTTAACAGTGGACAGCTTAATCAGGAATGATGAGTGGTGTCTTGATGCTTTCAGGAATTATCTGTGAGGAAGATATGAAGCTGATAAAAGGTGTGAAACTACCAGTAGTGAAAATGGCTAATAAGCTTCTATGGTTGAAAAATAGAGATGGTTGCTATAGTATCAAGTTGGGGTATAGGGTGGTCAAAGATAAAGAGGATAGGAAGGGTTCAGGGAGACCTAGTAGCTCGTATCAAACTCCTAGAGTGATTTGGGATGTGTTTTGGAAGTGGAAAATTCCTCCAAAAGTTGCTCATTTTTTATGGAGGGTATTCAATGGAGCCTTGGCAACTCGAGAGGCACTGCTTAGAAGGAAATGTGCAAGTACCCCAATCTGTGCTATCTGTAGATGACAACCTGAATCAATTGAGCACATGCTGTTTTTGTGTCCCTGGGCTTTGCAGGTCTGGTTGTTCTCCTTTATCACTGAGGTTTAAGGAGAGGAGTATGAAAAGAATTGATATATGGTTGGATGAGTGGCTAAAAATCAAGGAGGGACCTGATGACTATATTTGTGCCCTTTTTGCTACAATTTGTTGGGAAATCTAGAAGTCTAGATGCCAGTTTGTTTCTAAGGTAAGAAGGTGGATGCTCTTGGGTGTGTTGGCAGAGCTATGGGACTGGTACGTGACTGCTAGTAAGAAGAGGAGATGTGTTTCTGTGACAAGTGTGGAAAGGAATAAGTCTTGGGTCTTGCCTACAAGAGGGACAATTAAAATAAATGTTGATGCTGCTTTCTGTAAAGAAAGGGGTAAAGCTGTTGTGGGATTAGTAGCAAGGGATGATAAGGGAGGATTTATTGGTGGTCTGGGCAAGAAGATTAATGCCGGTTCTGTTTTCATTGCTGAAAGTATGGCAATAATGGAAGTGTTAAACAGCTATGACAGAATAGGCAATGCTGAGGTGATTGTTGAAACTGATTGTCAGGTCTTATTTGATAAATTGCAGAAAAGGCAGGTGAAGGGCTGTGAATGGGGTTGTGAAGACATCCTGTAGAAGCGTATCTCAACGTTATAGGTAAGGCAGAATTGACATTTATCCTTGGTTGCAAGAAGTGGGAACAAAGCTGCTGATTTTATGGCAGTTGATGTTATGAGGAGTGTGGTACCGAAAGGTTGGCTTTGTGTGCCACCACCTTCTCTGAAGCCTGTGTTACACCTGGACGTGAGGAACTCTCATGAGGACGTGGGGGAAAGATCTAGTATTGGTTAAGTAGCAGCTTTGCTTCTTTGTTCTTAGGTGTTTCGTTGCTTTTAGTTTTGTTTTGTCTTGTTGCTTTCCTCTTTTTCTTTCGTTGTTTCTGTTTTTGTTTTTAGCGTTTGTACTGGTCTTTGAGTATTAATGCAGAGTATTATTCAGCTCAAAAAAAAAATTAATTTCCTTAATAATTATATAGCTTTTGTATTAAGGATCCGATGTAATAACACTAATTTTTTCACCAGTTTTCCCTAACTAATTATAAAACTTTCTAACTAATTAACATGACTCCTCTAATTAGAGATTTTTATTAGGACAAAATGAATGCAATAATGCGCGCTGTACCGTTTCTTGGCTGAAAATGGGCGTTATACCTTATTATGATATATATGTGTTCCATCCATAATTATATTTATTATCTATTTTTCTTAATTTACTCTCAATACTTGTTTTATGAGTGAAGAGTATGTAAATGGTATAAATTTTATACTTCTTTCTGATACTTTTATGATAATATGTTAACTACTTCACACAAATTAAAAAATAAAATTAAACATATTTATCTGAAATTTCAACTCTATCTTTTTTTACAAAAAAATTACCCTCCCTCCGTTATCTTCATCAAACCAGTGCACGTTTTCCAGGTACTCTTCCTGATCTCTCCACGTGAGAATTTTTATAATACTACCTTCAGTTTTAGTTATAAGACCTCGTTTGTAGTCTATAAATGAAATATTATAATTAGGTAAGGAGGTAGTACATCTCATTTGATCATCATTCCATTCATGAAGACTCTCTTTTTATATGTAGTCAATAAAATAGCCTGAAAAAATTTGAGTGATAAAACATATTGAAATTTTATATTCAAAATGTAAATATTTTAACTAATTTTTATATTTAGGATTAAAAATAATACTATATATCAATATGAATCAATAATAGAGAGACGATATTGGGTGGCATTGATATTGAAAATGAAAAAGTGAGAAATAAGGACATAATAATAGGATATGAAATTATGGAGATGTGAACATTTTGGTGTTATTTGTGTTGGTGATGGAGATTGTAGGAGAGTGGACCGTCCAACTGCAATAATTAATAAGCATGGACAAAAAATAATTCTAACAAAATTTGGGCAAAGAAAAACCCTTGGGCGGGTTATGTGTCTATACACAATTATATGTGTTTCATAACCCATACTTTTTTTGTGATAAAAATGTATGCTTACTATTAGAATTGTGTGCATAAAAAATATATTTTCAAAATATTTTTACCATATCTTAGTTCCATTGACGTTAAACAAAATGTGTTCATCCTTTTCAAAACAAAAAAGTCAAAATCTGATCCAACTCTTCTCAATCTGAACAATATTTCTTTGGTTTTTTGTTTTGTTTTGTTTTGTTGGATAATCTACAATCCACATGAAGCCTGTTGTTTTAATACAAAACAATAAGCCCATAGTTTAGTGGGCTAAGAATCTGGCAAAAAAAGCATAGTGGGTCCATAAGGCATGGGCCCAAACACTGATTAACAAAATAAACTAAGTTCAATGGTCCCGGCCAGGCTCGAACGCGCGACCTTCGGCTCATAAGACCAACGCTCTAACCAACTGAGCTAGGGGACGGGGAGACGCCACGTTTGCAATTTTTAAAATAAGATACTACTTAATTTTATACGACACATGAGATTTTCCCAATGAAAGATCTAGAAAGTGTAACGTTAACAATGTCATGGGCACCTCAAGGATATGGGAGTGTTGTGTCTCTTTCTCCATGACAATACACAAGAATCTAATATGGATCATTCCATAGCATTTTTTTTTCATTTATGCTTAATTACATCAGTTTTGCAGTGCATGGAGTATAAAGAAATGAGCTACATTGATTATAACATGAAGATAATACAAATAGATTTTATTATATATATTAATGATAGTTGTTGTGTTGATAATTTATTTTAATTCAGTTATTAGCAGTTAAGATTGATCATATGCATTTCCTGTGGTAAAATTTTACTTGCTCAATATGTACTTATGTGGTTAATATACAATATGAAATTCAATATTATTGAAAGTTATAAATCATGCGTGAGGCACGAATAATGTACTATACCTTAAATTATGTGCAAAATATGGGACTTGCATTCTAATTTTGAAAAATCATTTGAAACCCTTATATTTCATCAAATTATAACATCATCTCATCAGTGTTTTACATTAATTTAGGATAATAAAAATTTTGTTCTCTTAAATTGGTTTCAGTTTTCGATTTGGTCCTTGAATTTTTTTTTGGTTAACCAGCTCCTGGAATTTTATGACCATACCTAATTGGGCTTTTAGTATGAAAAAAAAATACTTCTCATGTTTTTAATATAAGACCTATTTAACTAATTTGATTAGATTAAGGAAGTTAAGTAAGTTAGTTAATTATAAGAAATATGACATGTTTTCTTAAAACATAATAATCATTTTTCTTAATATCTCTCCTCTCTCTTCTACTTGATTATAGTTAAAGGAGTATTCATAAGGATAATTTAAAAAAAAATTAATAAATATAAAAAATATGCCTTATATTTAGACAAAAAATAACTCAACAATTATGTTTTATATTAAAAACAGTACGAGTAACATCTTAAAAATAAATGGTGTAAATTTCAAGTACTTGATTAATATATATTTATACATTTAACTCTTAAAAGAATGAGAACTGGTTAAAATTCATTTGTACGATAATCACAACGTTTCAATAATCAATATCAATATTGTATTAAATACCAATTTCAAATTTCATTTCTTCGTGTGTGTACTGTGTATGCCTGGGGGATGACATGTGTCCACTTTTTGCGCCAAAACGAAGGCAAATCCAAATTCCAATCAGGCGGTGAATTGAAAGGCCATGCATGTGGTGTGGGTGGGCCCCACCGCATTTGGGTCCCGTACCTGCGAAAAAAGCCAGCCATGCTCAAATGAACCAACAACCTCCCACTCCCAATCTCTCTCTCTCTCTCTCTCCCCGCCATTACTGCATAAAGAGTGGGAGAGTAAGGCCAGCAAGATAATGAACAGAAAGCAGCGAGGATTTGGGCGACAAATGGGTTAATGTAATATTTATGCATTATGCCATTAGATTTTCCTTGTTTAAATTTTGAGGTAAAAAGATTTCTTCTTGATTTTTCTCTTACAGTTATTTTGTTAAATCTTTCAACTGTGTTTCAGATCATAAGAAAAATCCTTTCAACTATGTCGTCTATCATCACCCGTTTGGGTCTCTGGTCCGTCCCTCGGACAAGCTCCTGGATTTAAGAGAAAATCCCAAATCTTTCAACACACTCTCTGTGTCTCCATCTCTCTCTACCCCACTCTGCTTTCTTCTTCGTCGTCGTCGTCCTCTTTCCAAGTCAGTAATTGCTGAATCGTTTGCTTGGCTCTTGGGTTTTTGTTTCTCATACCTCGCATTCTTTGAGATTTAGGTAAATTTTCGAACTCCTTTATATTTTGCTCCCATTACACGCTTTTCAAATTATGGGGTCCTGATCAAACTTTTGGGTCTCTCTTTCTGTTGATCTGGGTGTCAAAATTTGCTCGCAAAATCTGTTCTTGAAAGTTCAAAGTCAGATGGGAGAGAACAAAGAAACTGCCTAGAGATCAAAAAACCACTGCAGACCCATTTGTGGTGGTGTACGCAAATTTTCATGGAAGACAATGACTCAGCAAGATCAAACCCAAAAATGGAGCAATAGCGGCAGTGGCGGCGCCGGAGGTCCCGGAAGGTCTTCAAAGAAGCCAAAGCAGAAAAAGGTACCACAAAGAGGACTTGGTGTGGCACAGCTTGAGAAAATAAGAATAGAAGAACAACAAAGGAAAGAAGCTGCTGCTGCTGCTGCAATTTTACCAACCCCACCATCACTATCACCAAGCAAATGTTATCTGCCTCCGCAACTTCCTAGTTTTCATCATTCTAATCAACCGTCCTCTTCTCCAATTTCATTACATCCTGGCATCCCAGTAGATTTTTTTAGGTTGCCTCCGTCACTGCAAAATCTAGATGCTAATAAAGCTTCTTCATGCACTGTTCCATTGGAAGACAGTTGTACTTTTGACCCTGCCTGGCGTAAGTTGTGTGAATTTGAGAAGGATTTTGTGTCAAGTATGTCTATGAACTTGCCTTATGAATCCAACCACATTTGGCCTCCCTCCCATTGGACTCAAAGAACACAGCAATATCAGCAACCTTCTTCATCAACGGTAAGTTACTTTCAAGTTTCAAGTTTGATCTTTCTATGGTTTTCCAAGATGAGGTTTTCAATTGGCATCTTTTGGATTGTTGGAATTTGTAGGTGAATGTCTCATCAGGGAACTTAACATCACCTGTCTCTCATTACTCAAAAGAGCCCCCTTCAAACCAAAACTGTAGTAGCAGCCGTGTGCCTATGAGGCCAGAGGAGAAGGTAATCTGCAATTTGTGCTCATACTGGAATTCATCTGCATAATTTAAGCTTATGGTTCATCAGCACGATGAATGAAATTTTGGACTGATGCATATTGATTTAAGATTTCCCCCTTACAAAACTTTGACTTAATCATAAAACTGTCTTAATTGGATCTCCGTGTTTTAAATTTGGAGCAGATGATTGGCCAGAAAAGATCATACCCCTTCTCTCTGGAAGTTCCACCCGCCTCCTCTTTCAATTTCAAATCGCCTGCCTTGACTATTAATGTGAAACCAAATGAAAGTACTTCACGTGCCTATGGAAGTGGCCTGAACTTTGGTGCTTCCTCTTCAGCTTTTAGGTTGTCTCGGTTTGAATCTGTTCGCTCTTGCATTGTAATTGTAAATTCTGTTACCTCACATCATTTGTTTCTGCAACTTCTGCAGAGAAGTACCTTCCTGTTCAACACCATGCTCATCAGAGCCAAACTCTAAGAAGAATGAGAATTTCAATGGAGATTTTCTCTCCTTAGCTCCACCCATTTCACCCTCCAAGTGCAAGTCTACTTCAACTTTCCCAGCATTTCACAACCAGGAACTTCCTCATTTTGAACCTCCACCTTTTCAGGTTAGGAAAACCCTTCTTATTTTGACAGAAACCTTATTTTTTATCCTTGAAAGATGGCATCGTTATCAATTTGACAGTCTTGAATTGTTGTACCTAAGACTAATCTGATTCTAATGTCACCCTTTTAGTGTACTGAAATGACTCTTAGGTGTTAAGTGAGAACCCAAGAACTAAAGAGGAGTTATTGTTCATTTCTGCAGAATCTAATAATTCATTTTAACTTCCATTTCATTTTCTTCAGGGAACCGGAGAAGATCAAATGCCTCATGGCCAGCAACAATCTTTACACAGTTTCTTCCCACCAAAGGAAGAAGAAACTGTCCAAACGACAGAGACAAACAAAGATGGGAATTGCAGTGGTGAAAAAGGAAAAAGTGTTGATTTAAACTTGAAGCTATGAGCATCTTCTTTTGCCCCATTTTCTTGTCATGGTGTCACTATTAGGCCAGTTGTTCCTCACTATGAAACTCACACCCAAAATTGCAAACTCATCTGTGATCCAATGTCACAAGTGGGTAGATATTTCTAGAAGTCGCACATGTGGGGCTGAGTCTGAAAGGGACTTCAAATCTTTGCCATGTGAGAAGTGGGAGAGCGGAGAAGCAAAAACGAGAGATTTAGTTTGTTTTTAGGCCTAGGGGCTCCCTATAATAATAACAATGTCTTTTTTGCTTCTATAAAGCCGAACTCTGATAGTTGTGTGTTTGTGTTGTATTGTGTTTTTGGAATTTTCTTCATCTTTAGAAATACTTTGCTACATATAAAAGTACCATTTCTTTTATAGTTATTAAAAGTGACACAATTTAATACAATTGAAAAAGAGATAAAAAAAGAATGAGAAAATTGTTGGAAAATCTCTCATTGTAAAGTTTTTGGTTTAAAAATACCTGAAATTTGCATAAGAACTCTCGTGTAATTTTCAACAGCTACAAGTTTTTTTAGCAGTGCATAGCCTCTCTTTTATTACGTATCAAACGGCCAAGGGGAAAAAAAAATCAATAATAGGGTGAGATTGGGTTGGAGAGTGACCTCTTGAGAAGAGGTGGGAAGAGGAGAAGGGGGATAACTAACTAAAATACATGTTTGTGGGAGGCGGAGGGATGCGATTGCGTTGTGTTTGGTTTGCGTTCTCTTTTCGATCGAAGAGTGGGGTCCACAAATCTGAAGGCTTCATTATGGTTCTAACTTCCATGTGACGCCTTGTGGGGCCCGCCCAACAACGTGCATGCGTGGGGGGGTCTTGTCTTGGTGGAGAGGATTCCGATCCTTGTAAAAGCCAAGGAAGAAAAAGAGGACTTGATTGTGGGAATTTAGATGACAAAACGACAGCGGATCTCATGGGGCCCGCTCTATCTTGAACTGTGCAGGTTTTTTTTTGTTGGTAAATTGTAAGTCTTTTTTTTTTTTTTTCCGGGTAAGTCACAAATCCTATGTATAATCAGAAAGTATCTAAGTAGAAACAAAATCATAATTTTAAAAATATTTTTACCGTATGCAAACTAAATACGTTTAAAAATTTGTCTCAATTTATAAAAAAATACTTTTAAAAAATATTTTTGGAGTTACTCAAATACTTTAGAGTTGTTTGAATTAATTTTTTAGAGGTAATTTTATAAAATATAAAATAAATATGTGAGTGGAGTATTATTTTAACTTAGATGAAAATATTTTTTTTATGTACATACGGAATTTTCCAAACACCCCACGTCTTTAAGCTAGCTAAACCTTTAGCTAACCCAAGTTGATAAATGGGGCATTGGAATGAACTTAAAAACCCTTTTCACGGCTCGGTGCATGAAAATATAAAACGTACAGGCGTTTTGAAAATATCATGTCATAGTTTCAAAATTTATTAGTTCAGCTTTCAGAAAACACAAATAATATTAATCTATTCCCATAACCCTGAAAAAGAGCTTAATTATTAAAATATTTCACTGTCGTTATTGGAATTATAAATACAAATCCTTAATTCTTATTTTTTGAAACTTTAATTTCACACTATTATCTAGTTCTAATTAAAACCTAAAAAAAAAAAAGGTTAGAAATTCATGATCGATCTAATTAGTACTCCCTCCGTTCCTTATTATAAGAGACAAATAACCGAAGTACGTTGATCAAAAAAACAGTTAAAGTTAGTTAAGAACAATTAATGTATAAAAAGTATAATTTTTTCCAAAAATGCCCTCATTAATAAGGAGAGAGAGCATGAGAGAGAACAATTAAATTATTAAAAGAAAGAGAAGTGGGAGGGAGAGAGAGTGTGAGTTGGAGATAATAAATATGGGTAAAATAGTAAATCAACACAAAAAAGTAGAGACAACTTGTAAGTGTTTCTTATATATAGGAACATGGCATAAGCATCAAGTGTCTCTTATAATAAGGAACGGAGGGAGTACTAATCAAGCATTATGATTCTCTATTCAAGCTTCTCAGTTAAACATAGATGTATCAGTGAAGGCCAGGAACATCAGTCTCTCATTAGTTCATTACAATATCCATATACGATAATAGTAAAGGCCTAAGATAGAACATGCTCACTAAAAATAAGAATTAAACCAAGCTAATCATAAACAAACATCTCTAACCCACACGTTCCTTGATAACCAGATTGGTTTACTTATATTTAACAGAGCATTCATATGTGTTGATGATTGGGGTTTATGACCAACCACAGATATAATCAAGGACATAGACCAATGCGAGAGAGAAGGGATAAAGTAGGATGGCCACTATAGAAGCCCAGAGGGGAAAAGTGGTACGGAAACTGACAAAGGCCCCCATCACAATGCAAACTACCATAATGACCAACACTTCTGCAGAGAAGTCCCATGTCAATCCCCTTACATACACAAGGGCCAAGAACACTGCCAGGCAAAGCACGTTGTTCATTGTCACCGACCCATATAGCTGCAAACACACAAATAACGCACTTATATTTTTAGAAGCCTTCATTAATTGTCACAGCAAGCATATGAGGAAAATGACTGAATGTATGCATACTTTTCATCAATCGGGTTTGAAATACATTTCATTTTCATCAAGAATTCCGCGGGTGTTAAGTTTTGGAAACAGAATGAAGAAATTTTAGGAGATGAGCAGGGCTGGAACCAAAACTTATGAGAAGAAATTTAAACCCGATACTGAGTGAAGGCACGAAATATCTATTCTGACTAAGAATCTCTGAGTGTTGCTGCTACAAGGAAAGAACTGAGGCTGTGAATTGTGGGATTTATACTATGAGCCTGGCATCTCCATATACCGCGCAATGCAATGCTAATGATGACAGAAAAGCAAGCTAAAGAACCAGAAATTGGAAAGATATATTGATCGAAAGATAAATTGGATGTTTCTTCTTAAGGGCCTGTTTGGGTGCCTTCCAAAACCATAGTTTGGGAGGTAAAACCATGGTTTGAGTGGGATGTTACCCAAACAGTATCAATTTTGGAGAAATAATCTGAAACCATGGTTTTGGAGCCCAAAACCATGATTTCAGGAGAAGTGAATCCATTTTGCTTCCGGCTCAAATTGGAGAGTATGATTGTGCTGTCAGAGTAGATATCAACAATCATATGACTTTGACATCCCTCAATTATTTTTTTATAAACATATTTGATCTTATATCTTATAAATATATGTACAAATATTAATTATTTATTAATTATATTATCTTATGTATTATTATGTTGGTAAAAAAATTATTATTAACAATTTTATCTTTTATGTAATTATCATGTTAACTTATATAATTATCATGTTAACTTATGTCTTTTTTACTAATTTGCATATATAAAAAGTGCTTCTAACAATAACTATTCAAACACTCTCACTTCTCATAATTATTTTTTTACAAAATCTATTCTTCACAAAATCTATTCTCCCTGGAATCTCCATGATTTGATTTCATCCAAACACCCTTTAAGACATCCTCGCAAAGCAGAGCTAAACTCAAATGGCACAAGCTGAATACCATATGCTTGAAAGAAAAGCAGAGTGTCAAAAAAGTAAATAAACAAACCTCGGAAAAAGTTAAGGAGGCGGTCTGCCTCTTGTCACGGCTAGCAAAAATAATTGCTGACACTGCTTCACTGGAATTTGTAGCCAAAGGCAGTACAATGAAGGAAATGAAGAAGGCAGGAATACTTGTGACGTCGGAAAATTCGTGAACAGCATCAACCAGAGGATCAGCAACTGCAGCAGCAATAACTGTTCCCAGAAGGAGCAGCAGCACTGCTTTTATAGTATTCCATTTGGCATTCTGAACACCCTCAGCAGCTTCTTCAGCCGGAGCCCCAACATCCAGCAGATCGTGTTCCCTCTTTGTTTCCTGCAAATGAAAATCCGGTCAGTAATATATCCGTTTCCTGAAAGAATTTCTTTGGTCGAGTCTACCATAGCAAAACTCACTTGGTGAAAATCAGTTAAGTACTTCATTGTATGTGGACCAGCATCACCAGAAGCACGTCGAGAGCGCTTAGCCTTAGAAAGCCATCTACTAATTCCGTTAAAAAACTCCTCTTCAGCAATAAGTGAGTTACGAGAAGTATCAAAATCCTCTATTATTTTCGTTACAGCATCATCATGGTCCAGGTCAAGCTCTTCAAGTTCAATTCCAACAACCAGCGCTCTCAACTCACCTTGAGAAAGTTGTCCATCACCGTTCTCGTCAATTTTTGAAAAAAGCCTATGTGGATTAAAAGGAGATCAATGACGACCCAAAAAGCATAAAAATATGGAAATAAGAAAACAATATGCTTCGGAAAGTAATTTCTCGAGTCAGACCAAAGAGAAGAAAACATCTAACTTCTTGATTATTTCTCTATCAGGTTCACCATCTTCTCTCAGCAACCTTCCCAATGCTTGCTGCTTTAAATGTCTCAGAATTCCAAATATTACGTGCTTGTGTCTCACATAAGCAAGTCTTCTCCTCTGTATCCAGGGCTGGATAACCTACACAATTTTCCCCCTCAATTTCTTTAGGTTGCAGGAACAATTTTCAGGTGTTCATTGGTGCAGACAATCTCTCACTTAGTATACAGTAATAATAGATATTGGAAGCGCTGAACCTAGAATCTAAGAAAAATACAACAGAACAATATGAGGATCTGGACACGGTATATGGGTTTACATCCCTTCCTTATTTAGGCCCAATATACCAAATTGGCTAATCACAAATGAAACAAACTAAATTCCACTAGGCATACACGCAACACATGCTTCCTCTTATCAAGGCTTTGTAAAGCATTGTCTCCATTTCTTTCATGGTATTGTGCTACTTAAAAACCAGAGTAAGCATTGTCTCTATTTCTTTCATGGTATTATGATATATGACAATATTGCAGCAACAAATTTACCTGGTAAAAGCAATAACAAGCCAATAAACAAAGAGAGACAATAAGTGCAATTAAAACAGCCAAGTGCCTTCCAGACGTTGATTTGAGTACTTGGGGTATCTGAACAATCAGAAATGGAATGACAGATATAACCATGATCCTTGCAGCATAGCTTGTCCAAATATCAGTACTAACGCCAGAACCTGCAAGTGGAAAATATATTGGACTAATTATTAAAACATCCATAATGCTGAAATGTATGACATTGAAATGAAATGAAGGTTTAGCAAAATAGATAAACTGAATCTACTGCATTCATCCTTTTAAAATTTAAACAGTTATGCCTTAATTCAGGAGAAAAAATTGACGTATACTTGTTGGATATCACAACATGAGGTGAGATATTTTTTTAAGGTCTTCGACAAGAAAAGCTTAATATCAAATTTTTCGCAGATCCCTGAGAGGAGAAGGACATAAGAGACTTACCAGTTAAGCTAAATCCTCGTGTGTCTTGTGAATCTTTCGCAATTGAATCTTCAATGTCACACTTGCCAACAATTACACAAGTTCCCCATATTATAGTCAGAAGCAAAACTGTTGACCCCGCTAGCAAACCCATTCCAACAGAGACCTGACTTTGAGCGGTTTCTTTGCTACCGGAAAGCCCAGATACTAGGGTAAAAACAAGATAAATAGATCAGAAACTATAAAAATAGGGAGATAACAATACCAAGTGTTTGCTCCCCAAAAAAAAAAAAAAAAAAAACAAGTGTTCGTTAGTTTTAATAAGTAAGAGCGAACAAATATATAGCAATCTTCTGGCTAGTATGATGAACACCACGAGATTGTGGTCAAAATAAACAATGAATCGTGAAAAATGTCTCACAAAAATTGCTGCTTGTCAGCTAAGACTATTAGTTGAATTCTTCTATTTGTACCTCTATAATGCGATCAAGAAATAAATTATTGAACTATGCATACTATTTACTGAACTGAAAAGTCCGCTTCCTTTTCTTTTCTTTTCTTTTTTTCCAGGACGCAAATTTCGTTAGTTGTTGGAACACTCAGAATGATCACCCTTAGAAACAACTGATAATTTTTTGAAAGGTGCACCTGAGGATATTTTTTGGTCATTCCTAAATTCCAATTGGCACAAATAATCATCAAGTGGAGAGCAGCGCACAAAGTGTAAAAGGAGGTTGAGCATATAGAAATTTGAAGAGTTTAAGCAACGCATATAAAAAGTAAAAGGTGGGAATGAAGCTCCAAAAAGAAAGCGGATCTCATGCACCAGAGCAAGGGACCAAATTCTCATGCCCAGAGTTGCTCAGTATGAATAGATCTAGTACTTTTATTTATATCTGAATTGATCCAATATGACTGAAAAAGCAAGGATACGAGATGGCAAGTTAGAATGACATTAAATTGTACTCATCCATATAAATAATACTCTCCGATTCTTAATGTAAAATCTACTTAATTAATTTGAGTAGATTAATTATATTAATTAAATTAATTAATATGATATGTTTTCTTAAAACACCTAAACTTCTTTCTCAATTCCCTTCCTCCTTTCCTTACTTGATTATTGTTAAGGAAATAGAGCTAATTTAGAAAAAAAATTAACAAACATTTTAAATAAGTCTTATATATAAACCAACATAAACTTCCTAATTAGATCATATATTAAGAATTGGAGGAGTAATTAATAAATAATGAATTTGATAAATATTTTAAGCATTCTATAATATTTTCTATTTTCATTATAGAAAACAAGAAAAATCATATGTGCTAACATGATTCAGACGCGAAGTTTTATAAATTGGTTTTTGTTCTAAAAAAAGTTAGGGAAAATTGCAAATAAAGACCCCCCAATATATAAAATAGCAATTATGGATCCTGAATTTGAGAAATTGCTCACAAGGACCCGGTCTCAATTTGCAATTATAAAATCATGGCCAAATTACCAAAATACTCCTCTTTAATTTTTTTTTCAAAAAAGAACACCACTGCCTCGCCGGAATCTGGCCGCCGGCGCCGGAGCTCCGATGCCGGCGGCCGAATTCCGGCCATTGCCGACGGCCTTCCTTTGTTGCTTTTTTTGAAACTTTTTTTTTTTAATTGGGGGGAAGTGAGGTTGGGGGGATTTGATCCCCCAACCTAATGCTTCCCAAAATTAAGAATGACCATTGAGCCAACAAATTTTTGCTAACATTATAATACAAAAAAAAATATAAGTTAACTCATTTACTCTTGTTCCAGGTGATAACAATAATACATTTGAAAATAACAAATTCTGATTATAAAATAACAAGTCTGGGATTAAAATTTAACAACACGTTTTTTTATAACAACACACTCTGTTGCAGGTGATAACAACAATACATTTGAAAATAACAAGTTCTGATTATAAAATAACAAGTCTGAGATTAAAATTTAACAACACGTTTTTTTTATAACAACACACTCTGTTGTAGGTGATAACAACAATACATTTGAAAATAACAAGTTCTGATTATAAAATAACAAGTCTGGAATTAAAATTTAACAACACATTTTTTTAGAAAATTATTTATATTATGATTTTGGAAAATAAATTATTTATAACTTATAAAAATATTTTTAATATATTTATTTTTTTAAAAAAATACTTTTTAATCTATATATCTATACAACTCATTATAAATCAAACTACTTCTTATAAATTATAAAGCATTTATAATTAAGTATTTTTAATCTATAAATCACAGTATAAATTTTTATATTATTTCATTCTTTAAATATTAAAAATAGTTTTTATATTTAAAGAATAAAATAGTATTTTTAATTATAAATTAGAGATAAATTTCATTTATAAATTTAAGCAATCAAAAGGTATTTTTAATCTACAATAAATTGTACTATTTATAATTTATAAGAAGTAGTTTGATTTATAATGAGTTGTATAGATATATAGATTAAAAAAAATTTTAAAAAAATTAAAAATGTGTGTTGTCATTTTCCCTAAATTTTATTTATAAATTTGAACAATAAAAAAGTATTTTTAATCTATAATAAATTACACTTCAATTTCTGATTATAAATTGGAGATAAAAATTATTTTTTTAGCAAATTAAATAGATTTAAAATACTTTTTATAAGTTATAAATAATTTATTTTTCAAAAGTATAAAATAATTAATTGTTATAAAAAAAACGTTTTGTTAAATTTTAATTTCAGATTTTTTATTTTATAATCAGAACTTGTTATTTTCAAATGTATTGTTATTATCACTTGGAATAAAATGTGTTGTTATATAAAAAAAAAAAGGTGCTGTTAAATTTTAATTCCAAACTAGTTATTTTATAATCAGAACTTGTTATTTCCAAAGGTATTGTTGTTATCACCTGAAACAGAATGTGTTGTTATAAAAAAACATGTTGTTAAATTTTAATCCCAAACTTGTTATTTCCAAATGTATTGTTGTTATCACCTGAAACAAAGTGTGTTGTTATAAAAAAAACGTGTTGTTAAATTTTAATCCCAGACTTGTTATTTTATAATCAGAACTTGTTATTTTCAAATGTATTGTTGTTATTACTTGCAACAGAGTGTGTTGTTATAAAAAAAACGTGTTGTTAAATTTTAATCCCAGACTTGTTATTTTATAATCAGAACTTGTTATTTTCAAATATATTATTGTTATCACCTGGAACAAGAGTAAATGAGTTAACTTATATATTTTTTTGTATTATAATGTTAGCAAAAATTTGTTGGCTCAATGGTCATTCTTAATTTTGGGAAGCATTAGGTTGGGGATCAAATCCCCCCAACCTCACTTCCCCCCAATTTAAAAAAAAAAAACCGTTTCAAAAAAAAAACAAAGGAAGGCCGCCGGCATCGGAGCTCCGACGGCTGGCAGCCGAGGTGGCGGAGCTCCGGCGCTGGCGGCCGGATTCTGGCGAGGCAGTGGTGTTCTTTTTTGGAAAAAAAAAAATTAAAGAGGGGTATTTTGGTAATTTGGTCATGATTTCATAATTGCAAATTGGGATCGGGTCCTTGTGAGCAATTTCTCAAATTCAAGGTCCCTGATTGCCATTTTATATATTGGGGGTCTTTATTTACAATTTTTTCAAAAAATTATTGGAGAGAAAGTTAAAAAAACCGTAAAAATTATAAAATTGCAAATCAAGTATTTTGTGAAAAAATGGTTGTCATTTAATTTATTTGCTACTCAACTATTGTCAACACCTATGCAAGTCTTATAATGAATCTTGATTTGCAGTTTTGTAATTTTTATGGTTTTTTGTGATTTTTCCAAAATTAAATTGATATGAGAAAGAAAATAAAGGATCCGCGCGCTCATATCAGGAACTTGTTTTGTGGGTCAAAAAAAGAAAACATGTATGTTAAGGAACCGTCTTATCAGTACTTTTGTAAAGAGAAAAAGTAGAAAAATAAAAAATTAAGATGCGATTGACTACTGATTAAGTATCCTTTTTATATTTTAATGTTGAAGATTTTATAAGATATAATAATAAAATAAAATTATAAGAATCATAAATTCCTTAACAAATTTATTTTTAATTAATTTATAAATTATTTTTGCGAATGGAGAATTTTAATTAAAGAATAATCAAACTATTCATATATCGCAAATAATTTAATTCGTTATAGTATTATATATAGAATTTATAATAAACTGCAATATTATAAAAATAAAAAATAATATAATTTTTATGTCAAGCATAAATAACATAAGTGATTTTATTAGACTCATGGATCTTATATTAATTGTTTTTATAATAAATTCATAAGTTATTTTCTAATTATACTTTCACTAAAAAAATTTATTGATATTTAAGCTTGTTTGTTCTCTGTTTTTTTTTAACTCCTCTAAATTTTTTAATTTTCCCCCAAGGACTGAAAGGATCCGCCGAAAAAAAATTCCATCTAAAGATTGTAAAATATTATCGGATGAATAATGAAGACAGTTGGCAAAAAGAAAAAAGTAATGAAGATGATCAAACGAAAACTCTGATGCCTGCAGTATCCTCGACGCTGCAGGAAACTTTAAAATAAAAGAAATGAAAGTAGGGCTGAGCAATGGGCGGGTTGGGCTAGCCCATAGCCCGCCCATTTATGAATAAACGGGCATGGGCTAGCCCATAACCCGGTAGCAGCCCATTTTAGCTTGTATTAAATGGGTTACGGGACAGCCCGTTTGGGCTGATCGGGTTATGGGTAACCCATTTATTTTTCTACTTTTTTTTTTTTTTACAATTTTTTCAGCATAGTATAATCTTATGTAGCTGTTAATAAATTTTGCATAGCAAATAGCAAATCAAATATAAAATAACATCACATAATACCAACTATATTTCATCACATAACTTCACGTAGAGTCACCAATCATAAAAAGTATCAATCGAAGTTGAAGTCTTAAAGACGGCAAGACGCAGCGGCAGCACCGTACAGAGTTCAGATGATCAGTGGAGCTCCAATGTCGAAGTTGAAGACTTGAAGTTGCAGCAACCCAGCCATCCAGCATCACAGGCTCACAGTTACAGTCTTGAAGATGCAGAGACACAGAGTCACAGCATCACTCTCTCAACTCTCGCGGTTGCAAACAGCTAGAGAAATTGACGATCATAGTTCATAGATCGCTGGAGCTCAAAGCAAACTGGGCAACTACAGGCTCAAAGTTGAACCTGAATCTCAAAGACGCTAGACGGAGAGCACAAGTAAGTGGCAACAGCATAGGAAGTTCCTAGTTCATAGTCGGCTGGCTAGTCCTACTTGTTCGGTCGAAAGAGAGCAAGACAGAGACAGAGTTGAAACCTGAAAGCCTGAAACCGAAAGTCCGAAGGAAATGGATAAATGGATAATTGCCTAATTGGATATGAAACTCAATCCTGAAACTTGGTACCAGCCCATGACTCCAGGAGCCCACTTGCTGATGGCTTAAAAAAATATTTTTAAAAAAAAACACTTAAATGGGCAGGTATGGGCAGCCCGATGCCTTGCCCATAGCCCGTCCCGTTTAATGGGCTGCCCTGCCCATTTAACCCAACCCATTTAGGATCTGCTATATGGACTAATTGAGTGGACTTAAATGGACAAAAAATTATTGGGTTATGGGCAGGTCAGCGGGTTATGGGTTTCTTGCTCACCCCTAAATGGAAGCTTTAAACGGACACAAGTCATCTAAGAATTTTTCTTAGGTTTAAAGAAATCTTTCTTAGGGTGTGTTTGGATTAGCGGCGGAGGAGTAACTTTTTTTTCAATATGACTTTTACAGAAGTCAGATTGGATAAAAATAGCTTCTTTGAGCTTATTGTATAAGCCTGTTTCGGTGACAGAAGTCAGATTGTAAAAATATGATTCTAAACACATCCCAAATCAAAAAAACTCCTTTTGCCGATGGAGAAGTCAGTTTGAAGGTCCAGATGTGATTCTAAACACACTCTAAAGTATCAAAGAAACTCAATTAAGGGAGAAAATTGTCTACTGCGCATAAAAGCGTGCGCCCACTCACAACAGGGGCGTTACTGCGCAGCAACGTTCCGAATTTTGAGAGACGACTTGGAGGAGGAAAAGTTCGGTGGGGTAAGGTGTTACCAAATACAAAATCATGATTTTAAAATACGAAAAAGCATTTTTAAAAAGGTGTCCAAAATCCCCTAACATATTTTCCAGCTAACCAAACAGATGAAAGAAAATCCTTATCCGAATTAACGAGCAGACTGAAAACTCCTTAATATCGGTGTGATAAACACAGCGCGGGTAAGAACTCATAGGAGCTATAAATGAACAAAAGGCGAGGAAGGAAAAGAAAACTGCTATTATGATTTCCCAACTATTCAAAAAAAAAAAAATCTAGAACATCCAACAGAAAACAGAAATGCATCACGCAATTACTGATGTCTCCAAGAATTCATCTCGTTTTTCACTAATAATTCTTAGTTTTCATTTTTAGGATGAAGGCGGCAGAGAAAACGCAAATTAGTATCGTATGTGACTTCTAACCAAACAATTAAAAGAGAAGTAAAATCCAGAACGGAACATGAACGACAAAAAATAAAAAAGAACGACGGCGTACCAATTGTTAAAATTTATAACGAAACAAATTAAATCAGTTTTGCTGATTCTACGAGATCTTAATTTTCCATTTGCAGGATTAAAAACAGAAGTGTAATCATATTATATATACTTACCGAGAATGAGCATGGCATCAGGCAGCGCGCCGAGAACGGGAAGAAACAAGCCACCAACGATCCCAGGGCCCAAGATCTCAAGCAACAGCTCGCTGCCATTGGACAAATAGGTAGCAGCCTTGTACATGAGGAAGCCATAGACGCCGATAAGGAGCAAGTTTCCGACTACAGAGGTGGTGCAGGGCAAGAATCCATACGTCTGCTCGCAGGAAGACTGCTTCAACGGCTGCAAAAGCCGGGACAGATTGTCCTCCGGCGAATCTCGGGAATGGTGGATCCCACTGAAAATAAGATTAGAGGAGGACGACAGGAACCGAGCGTGAACCTGAGCAGAGAGAATTAGGAGTGAGAGGAAGAGGAAGAGCGTGAAGGCGAACCGACGAGACATTGGGGACGGCGGGGGATTGGGGATCGGGAAATGTTCTAGAGGATGTGGATGTGAAGCATTTGCAAGCTTGCAGAGAAGAAGAGAGTGACGTAGTGGATATTTGAATTGCAATGAAAGGAAGGTTAAAACCTGTGGGGATGGAGGATGCGAGGGGGAATCTGCGTCTGAATCGCGTGTCCTTTAGGCAAAGGTGGTGAGGGAAAAGAGAGAGATAAGGGGGTGGGAAGGGAAAGTCGTGTCTCGTGTGATGTGCACCCTGTAGTCTGTTTTGTGTCGTTTTGTGTCGTTTTGATTAGGCGAGTTCCCCAGTTTTGTGTCAAGCTTGATAAATGAATTAACATTGCCTATACCACGTTATAATGGTAATATTGGTCTAGGTTTTAAGCTGAAGGATTTAATTTATAATTATCTAGAGCAACAAAACAAATTTTTAAAATTACAATGTATAGTTATATATAAATTTTTAATAATTACTGAAAAATGTCGTGAAATACATGGGAGTTAAAGGCTAAAATAAAATATATTTTTAGTCTTTTAACTTTATACAAAGTTTCATTTTGGTTCTTTAACTTTAAAAAGTAGATTTTTAGTTCTCTAATCCTAAAACCGTTAACAAAAAATGATGATATTGAGCTTTTGAATGCTGATAAAACATTACTAAGTGCTAATATATTAAGTTTAATATTCAAAACAACCATGGTTGTTGTGAAAAATCATCATTTAAGACTAAGAATTTTGGGATTAAAGGACTAAAAGTATATTTTTTTAAATTAAAGAACTAAACTGAAACCTTACATAAAGTTAAAGGACCAAACATATACTTTAGCCAGAGTTAAATGATGATATACTTAAATTGTTCAGTTAATTATTCCTTTAAAATAGGAGATCCAAATCCTCTCAATGCTTTCTTTCTACGTCTTTTTTTCCCAACACATCCTAAAATATTTCGGTTATAATAATGAATAATGAATGCCGACTATTAAACCAAGTATATCGTCCATTTATAAATTCTTTTCTCAATTGTTTGATTAATCAATGGAAGGGATTATATAATGAAGAAAGCAATGGAAATAAAATAGGGACCAAATCTTTTTTTTTAAAAAAAAGAAAAAGTGTGGCGTGTGGTTTACATTTATTCTTCTAGTAATTAATCCTTGATTTGTTACGGATTGACCCCCTATGTTTCCCCCCGTAAAGACAAACGGCCAGTGGACAGATAACCAACTATAGTTAACTAACTAAGGATATCATTTTAACATGGGGTTGATGCAGAGATATAGATTCCTAATGTTTGTATATCTATTTAGTACTTAGTTATATATATTGTATTTACGACATGTCATGTAACCAAAAAAAATCAAGAAAAATATGCCACTGACTATATGTATTCTGATTTTGATTTTATCGTATTCCATATTTACAGTGTGATTATGCGTCAAAAATTAATTTCACCATACTATTTAGTAATAAAAAAATATAATTAATTGGATGTTGTTTGAAAATAATACTCCGGTCCTTAATATATGACCCAATTGTTGAGTTGGTTTTGGTTCTAAATATAAGACCCATTTGTTATATTGATCAATTTTCTATAAATTACCCCTGTGGATACTCCCTCAACCATAATCAAGTAGAAGAGGAAGATGGGTTATTAAAAAAGATGATTACAATATTTTAGGAAAAACGTGTCACATTTCTTATAATTAACTAATTTTCCTAACTTTCTTAATCTAATTAAATTAGATAGATATGTCTTATATTAAGAACCGGAAGAGTAATAATTATTGAAATAATAAATTTATTAATTAACTAAAAAAATGAGTGTTGAGTTTTTGCAGTTTTGCATCAGCTCTCACCTTCAGCGCTCCCAAATACCGACACGTAGATAAGGTTTGGTGGGGGAACCATCATTGCTATGACCGAATTTAGGGGCATGAAAACGAAAATGGAAATAGAACTGAAATTGGAATTTCAAAAGAAAAAATACTTAGGGAAAATGACAATAAGGTCCCACACAAGTATAAATACAGCAAAAAGGTCTCCTGAAATCTCATAATTTTTCTGAAGTCTCAAAGGGATTTAGATGTAATTTTCGGAATCCTCAAATTACTCTCTTGCCCTTGCCATCAGAAACAAAGACGAGAGAAATTCATTTGGGTGAGGAGTTCCCGCGCAATATGCTTGAGAGAGAAGACATTGGAAAAGAGGGAAGGAGCCATTGATGATGAAATATCTTCTCCATTACCATTAGTGAACTCTAAAGAGCTTCCATGTGAATCTCCACAAATTTTTAGGTGTGGAACTTTCTTTCCTCTCCTCTCCTACCTTTCTTGACAGATTGTGCATTTGTTTGGGAATGAGAAATCAGAAAATCATTTTTGTCTTTTTGGGTTGCTTGTGGGTGGTTTTGGGAATGGGATTCACAAGTTAATCAATAAAAAAGCTATGTTTTTTGTTGGTGTGTGTTGGTGATTTAAGTTGGGTGTGTAGGATGATCATGGGTGCTCTGTTTTTGGGTTGCTTGTGGGTGGTTTTGCTCTGTTCTGATGTTACTTCAGTGGCAAAGGAAGAAAAAGATGAAGGTTAGTGTGGGTGGAAACCCTTAACACGAAATGAGATATCGTGTTGTCAATCAGGTCGCGATAGTTGTCAACGCGTGTCGCGACAATTGTCAATATAGTTCCTTGACTTGTCAACGACAGTTGCGTGATTTTTTATGCAGGTTTAAATTACTGATGGCGGGTACATCTAGAAAGCATCTATTTTGCTTTGTTCACATAGGTGGAAAGTTTATAAATGATGGAGAAGATGATATGAGATATGTGGAAGGTAGTGTAAGAACAACAAATATAAAAGAGGGCACAAGTTATGAAGAACTAAAGGAGATTATATCATCAATTGTGGAAAAAAACCAACTCATTTCTTTTGAAATTCTCAGTTGTGTTCGATAAAAAAAACTTTTGTGGAGTTGGTAGATGATGATGGGGTAGAACATTTGATAAGGTTCAATGAAGAAAGTGGTCATCTGGATGTAGAAGAGACTGGAAATAAGAACCACATAAAAGCAACAAGGGATAATACAATGGAGGAGCAAATAGTTTAACAAATCTGTTATTTTCATTTCTTGGTATGTTAGTTGTTACTGTCTTGCTATCAACTTGTCAATGCATGCACCTTGACTTGTCATTTCCTACAAGATTAATCAATCATTTGGAGGTGTCAATGAATTGTTTATGTCTCCACCTACCTTATTTGATGTGATTGGAGAGCCATCATCAATTCCTTGTACTGTTAAAATGATCCCAACACCTACACCACAAATGAATTCCACAAAATGGAAGGATTTGATTATTGGAGAAGGACAAATATTTCCAAATGCCACTGCTCTCCGAGAAACATTATACAAATACAGCCTATCCCAGTAGTTTTCATACCCTTTTATTAAGAATAATCAGCAAAAAATCATTGTGAAATGCAAGGTTGATGGTTGTCCATGGTATATGGGTGCATAGTCAATGGGAACACATCAAGATACTGAGTTTTTAACAATCAGAACATACAAAAGTGAACACATGCATCATGCACAGGACAACTTAATTGTTTCTTACTCAGGTAGGTCAAATTTAGCTGCTTCAATTGTGATTGATGACTTGAGGTGCAATGTTAACAAGAGTTTTAATGAAAGTAGAAAAGACTTGTATAAAGAATATGGAGTGCAATTGAACTATACTCGAGCATATAGGGTCAGGAAGAGAGTACTAACGGAATTACATGGTCGAGTAGAAGATTCTTATAAGGTAATCCCTTGGATGTGTGAGAGATTAATAGAAACTGATCCTGATACAGTTGCAAGATGGGAAGGCTCAGATAGCAACCGATTTGAGAGGCTATTCATTGCATATGGATGCTCAATTAAAAGCTTTATACAAGGTTACATACCAATTATTTATATAGATGGATGTCATTTGAGTGGTCCTTATAAAGGAACTTTATTATCCTCTTGTGCATTTGATGCAGACAATGAGTTGTTTCCCTTATCATATGGTATTGTTAGCGGAGAAACAAATGATGAATGGGCTTGGTTTCTACAGAATCTGAAGGAGATAACCAGATCAGCACAAGTGACAATTGTCTCAGATTGGAGTAATGCTATCATCGGTGCTGTTAGGACAGTATTTGATGGTGAGAGACATGCTTTTTGCTATCGACATGTGAAAGAAAATTATAGTGCATAGTATGTGAAAATCAATAGAGGTGTGAGACGAACCTCAGAAAAAAAAAACAAGGAGAATGCACTTAATTTACTTAATGGAATCGCATATGCAAGGTATGACAATGAGTTTAATGTTGCGATGGAAAATTTAAGATTGTTTTGTCCACAATTGGCACAATGGGTTGAATCTCATGGGGATGTAGATAGATGAGCGCAAAGTAAATTTCCTTTTTAGAGATGGGATAGCATCATTAATAATCTTGCCGAGTCTTTTAATGCATGGATGTTGAAAAAAAGGAACCATGCCTTGCTGGTTTTGATACAAGAGCATCAAGAGAAGTTGGTGAAGAAGATGGTTGCTAGCAAAATGGGGATGAGAAGCTGAAAAAATGGTATAGAACCCAATATTGAATCAAAGTTGTCAGAACAAATAGCAAGAGGTGCGTATATAGCAGCAACATATTATGGTAATGACCATATTTCGGTGCAAACAATGCGTGCGGGAAGCATCATCTATGTGACTGTTGATCTTATTTCTCACAGATGCACATGTTTGGCATGACAAATGAGTAGAATACCTTGTCCATATGCGTGTGCGGCAATCAAACTAGTTCACCGTAGCGTGTATGATTATATAGATGACTGTTATAAATTGTGCACACAGGAGAAAATATATGCAAATAGCATGAGGCCAATTGCAACGCATGATTGCCCACAGCTGCATGCACCTACCGTGACTCATATGCTAACCCAAACATTCTTGCATCCACCCATAACTAAAAGGCCTCTAGGAAGGCCAAAGATTAATAAGATAAAATCTCAGTTCCAAAATAAGAAGGTTTATCGTTGTGAAAGATGCAAAGAGCCTGGACACACTGCCAAGACATGTAAGAACCCAAATCCCAGTTGAGAACATATTGAAATCAGCTTTTTTTTTGTATATGGATGTGAAGGGAATTTTTTGTAAATGGATACACACCAATAGTTAGTTTCTCGTAATTACATGCAACCCCTATGTTTTTTTGGGATGGGTTGTGAAATAGGTGTAATTTCATATATGTGAAAGTGTAAATGAAAGTTGACTATGAATTGGCATGTTAGATTCTGTTGTCATTACCTACACCCTGTATTGTTATTAGACCTATTATGACTTATCAATGGAGCACTATCACTTGTCAATTAATTTGCTGATGTAAGTTGTCAATAATATGAATTCAAGTTACATAACCTGTTATAGTAACATATGATATTTTCAATCACTCTGTCATATTATATTTTTGGTTATATTGTCATATATAATCATTATTAATGAAGTGTCAATGGTGGCACACTGACTTGTCAATCGTGGCACTGTGACTTGTCAATGGTGGCACACTGACTTGTCAATCGTGGCACTGTGACTTGTCAATGGTGGCAGACTGACTTGTCAATCGTGGCACTGTGACTTGTCAATGGTTGCACACTGACTTGTCATTGGTAGCACACTCACTTGTCAATGGTGGTATTGTGACTTGTCAATCGTCGCACTGTGACTTGTCAATGGTGGCACTGTGACTTGTTAATGGTGGCACTGTGACTTGCCAATAGAGCACTTTGACTTGTTAATGAAGGCACTATTCCTTATCAATTGAACATAACTTTAAGTAACACCTTCTTAATAATTATATTTTAATATAAATATTACTTAACATTATAAATAAATGACACCTTCAATTGTAAAAATTTTGAATATCAATTGTTAATATCCACATATTCATTTGTTATGAAATTGTTATATCACTTGTCATTAACTCCTGTTATATTACTTATTAATATTACATAAATTTGTCGATATCAATAAAGATATAAAACAACAAAAATAAAAATGTAATAAAACCCTAAGAAATTGGTATCATAACATCTGATAACAAAGGTAATAATATTATAAACATAATTTGATCAGTTTGTTACAAAATGACCTATTGACCATTTAGCTATTGCTACTCATGGCTCACACCCTTAGTTGCCAATCATCTTACAACACATCCTGGCATAACAGAACAAAAAATTAATTGACTCGTTTATCTCCTCCTCTTGCTCTTGTTGTAATCCGATAGCATCGATATCACTTCATCCCTATGTTTATTATGTGGATGGGTAACCAACCACCACAAACAGCCAACCTTCAACTCTTGTAATTCATTATTGGAGTATCATGGCATGGTATATCCCGCAGCATCACAAACAGTACCATCCCACTCTTGTAGCCAAGAGAGGACATGAACTCCACATGAATCACTGCCAAGCAAATTCAATATGTAGCACCATGCAATTTTTATTGTGAACAATAACAAACAACATAACACAGTCGAACAACTACACTCATGTATCATTCTGCACATAAACTTTAGTCCATTGCACTTCATTGTCAATTTTGTCCTCATTAGCAAACAATTTTGGCTTCATAGCACGCAGCATCTTATGGAAACAGTTTATCTGGAAAAAAAAAAAGCACATAATCAAGAGGCATCTCTAACAACACAGCATCCAGTGACAACTGACACAAGCATCCAATGACAACTAACACAGCATCCAGTGACAACTATAGAAGCATCCAGCGACAACTAACACAGCATCCAGTGACAACTAACACAGCATCCAGTGACAACTATAGAAGCATCCAGCGATAACTAACACCAGCATCCAGTGACAACTAACACAAGCATCCAGTGACAACTAACACAGCCTTTAGTGACAACTAATACAGCATCCAATTACAACTCTGCAAGCATCTAGCGACAACTAACACAACAGTAAATAACTTAGCATGCAGTGACAACTACGTAGGCTACTAGTGACAAGTATAATAGCAGACATTGACAAGTATAACAGTAGTAAATAACTACACATAGTTTGTGTTGTTAAAATTGTCTTAGATTGAAGTGCCCTTTATTTGTCCCTTTTTTCTTCTTCTTGGCATCATGTTGCTGCTGACCTCCTTCTTTGCTTGTTCTTCCTCTACTTGTAATCTCATGTATGTGATGCTACCAATTAATGAGTCAAGGACGTAGAAGGTCATGGTCTTTGTCTCCAAAACATAGCAAAACCAATGATCTTCAAATAACGTAGGACCGAAAAGGAAATCGCATTCCTCTATATTGTACCCAATATATTTAGGTAATATTTCCCTTCCATGGTCCTCCTATTTCCATCTTAAAGGATTTGCCACCATCTTTTGCATGAAATCTACACTAAATATATGCCGGTTGACTCACCCCTCTTTATCCTTTTGATCTCCAGCAAATGTCTTCGCCACCATAGTCATAAACTGAAATTACAATACAAAGAAATTACAATTCTACCATCAAATTACTCATTCTAATGTTAACCATATACATGTAACTCACCTTGTCGTTTATCCATTTTCTACATTGGAAACATTGCAACTCACCACGGGTTAGGAAGTATCCATACATCGATACAAAGTATCTAATGCAAATGAAACAATTATGAACTCAGTAAATTCTGTAACATAATTTAAATTTGGTCACCAAAACATAATACTTACTGCTTTTGCTCCTCTTCATCACACCTTGATGTACACATGTCAAATAAAGCTTGCCTATCATCAATTGTTCTCTTGTTCCCAGGCTTACTTTTGATTTCCAGAAATGGAGACCTAAGAGCCTTACCCTTACTTATCACCCTTGTTGATTTCCTCACATATTTTTTTCCTTCCCCTTGGTCGTCCTCTTCATCCTCTTCTTCTCTTATATTTCCTTTTTCATCTTCTTTGTCCTCTTCCTGCTCTTTGTCCTCTTCATCCTCTTCTCTTTTATTTTCTTCATCTTCTTTGTCCTCTTCTTGCTCTTTGTCCTCCTCATCCTCTTCTTCTCTTTTTATTTTCTTCTCTACCTATCTCCTTCTCTGATTGAGTTTCTTGTTCTTCTTCTTGATTTCTATCATCTTTCGATTCAGTTCCATCTTCTTCAATTTCCTCTTTCTCGGATTCACTTCCTTTGACAACTTTTTTCTCTTCTGACTCAGATTCTTCCTCCTCATCTTTCTCCTCTTCACTTACATTGTCACTATCCTTCATTAGTCTTAACTGAAGGGA